GGAGGGGAGGGGGGAGTGGGGGGTGTTTGGACTTCACTTTGGCCCCAGTGGTGACATTACAGATGCCACCACTCATTTGCCCCTAAAACAAAAAGATTTCATTCATTAAGAAAAACATTTTAAAGACAACTTTACCAATGTTTTCATGTAAATGGTGTCGGAGCTCGAGAGGAAACTGACGGGGGGGGGAGGGGGGTAGTTTTGAGGAGACAGGAAACGGTTGCAGGAGTTGAGAGTCGAGAACTGAAAGTACACGTGAAGAGAACTTTAAATGTAGTTGTTGTTTCATTGTCTGCAGTACTGGTGCAGTACTGGTGCAGTACTGGTGCAGTACTGGTGCAGTACTGGTCCTGTCCAGTACAGGAACGCAGTTTGCGAGTTTTTGCATTGTATATAAAAATAATTTCTGGCCTAAGAACAAAAAATAAATAAATAAAATAAAGGACATTTTGTAACAGGATAATAACCCTGTCCGTACGTATGAGTAAATGAGATTTGTGAAAGTTTTTTTTTTTTTTTTTTTTTTTTTGGTCGTATTTCCCACTCTACAATGGTTCGTGAAGCGTTAATATATATACGTTAATAATATAAATATCGCATCTCTACTTCGTGTTTTTTCACCGATCGACCAGCAGGGCTGTAAGAAAATATCAGTACACTGAAATACTGCGATATTTGGTTTCCTGATACTGCATCAATATCCTCCGTCAGCAGAACGCAGCAGTTTGCTGTTCCGTCCTGCCGTTCTGAGGTTCGTCCACTAGGGGCTCCAGTCCTGTGACGTTCCTTTGTTCTGGTGAATTGGTGATTAAAAAATCAATACACTGATGCAGTATCAGGATACTTCAGTGTACTGTGTCTGTCTGTCGTCTGTCTGTGGTTGTTCTGGACGGCGGTTCACAGACCAAACCTCTGCACCAGCTCCGGATTCTTTTCCACCCAATCACGAGTGTGTTTATGAAGCAGCTGTTTAGAGACGCAGCGCTTCACTTCCTGTTTGTCTGTCAAAGTAAGCAGCACAGTGCCCCCCCCGCCCCCCCCCCTCGATGTCTTTGCCGCTCCGATCAGATACGATGAAGATCTGATCTGCGTATCTTGGGGAGGATGTGGTCGGAGTAATGGAGCGTGACCGCGGCCGACCTCCGTCACGACTTCCTTCCTCCTCATTTCTAACTGACCTTAAACCCATGTTTTAACCTTTGTCCCCAGGAAGTGTCTGAAGCTGCAGGTCAGGGGGTCACGATCACCGGCACCAAACCCTTCAACAACTGGAACTGGCCAAACGCTGTCATTTTTGCTGCCACCGTGATCACCACTATCGGTAAGTGCGTCCTAGTGGTGAGAAGTGACGTTTCTTTAGATAACCTGATTAGACGTCAACGGGCCGGACCAGTACCGTCGTAACATAATTACATTTAAACAACTAAAAGTCCGTCGTATTAAATCTTCATATTTAAGGAAATATAATTTTACACATTTCCTGAACATGAAGTATATATTTTTTATTTTTTTCAAAATCCACTAAAGGGGCCAGTTTTGGCCCGTGGGCCTTATGTTTGACACCAAACTAAAGCCACTTTTTCATTATTGCAAGATATGTAAGACCTCTCCACACCACCCAGTGGTCAAATGAGGCAGTGGCGACTGGTACATTTTCACTTGGACTTTTGGACATTTTTCTGGACATTTTTTCCATGTTAATCACCGATAAAAACAGGTGTGAAACGCTGCCCTCTACCTGCTGTTCCCGTTGAACGTGTCATCGTGGTTGATCTGATCAAACATTTGTTTCTTTACTTTATTTTTCAGGCTATGGAAACATCGCTCCTAAAACATCGACGGGACGCGTGTTCTGCATCTTCTACGGACTCTTCGGCGTTCCTCTGTGTCTCACCTGGATCAGTGAGCTGGGAAAGTTCTTTGGAGGCCGAGCCAAGCACCTGGGCCAGTTCTTGACCAAGAAAGGGTTTTCTCTGGTAAGTGGATACCAGTTTCTCCTCTTTGTTCGTTCTTTCGTGTCTTTGTTCGCAGCCGTTTCAACATCGACGCCTAAAACAACGAGTCTCTGTTTTTCTTCTTTCAGAGAAAGGCTCAGTTTACCTGCACTGCCATTTTCCTCCTGTGGGGCGTGCTGGTCCATTTAGTGCTTCCACCCTTTGTGTTCATGTCCCAGGAGGGTTGGTCGTACATTGAAGGCTTGTATTTCTCTTTCGTCACTTTGACCACGATTGGATTTGGAGACTTTGTTGCAGGTAAGTTGAACATGAAATTCTGTGGTTCAACCTGGGGGGTAACGATGCACTCAAGTCACGATACCATACGAGCGCAATAGTTTTGTACACGATACGATCATGAAACTGGGTTTAATAGCGGGTCACAACCAATGTTTTCAGGAGCATTCTGCCACCTACTGGACTGGCGTGTGTAGTGTCATGGTATGACCAGTAATCTTTTTGCGATAACTCGGTCTACTCCTCACACCTTGATGGACCATTCAGATTTTATTTCAGCCAATAAGAATTGTCAGGGATTTGTATCAATATTGAACCGATTCACAAGTCATCGTTACATCCCTGGTTCCGGCTCATGGAGGCCTAGAACTGTTGCCTCACTCCGGTTCATCACAGTAACAGTGGTTTTGGAGAGGAAGGAACTGATGGTAAATGTCTTTTGTCAATGGTTTCCCCCCAGGCGTGGACCCAAATACGGAGTACCCGACCCTCTACCGGTACTTTGTGGAGGTGTGGATCTACCTGGGCCTAGCCTGGCTGTCGCTGTTCTTCAACTGGAAAGTACGAATGGTAATCGAAGCTCACAAGGCGCTGAAGAAGCGGCGCAAAATGCGCAAACAGTCGCTGGAGGAGCCCAGACCGCACAAACAGAAGGACTCGCCGCGGTTGCCTCCCACCCCCAATGACGTCAACATCTTCAGCTTCCTGTCCAAGAAGCAGCAAGGCTACAACGACCTGATCAAGCAGATTGGCAACAGGAAAGTCGACAGGATCGGCAGAGGCTCGGCGAGCGCTCCAGACAAACCGGTCAAGGACTACGGTCGCTCCAAGAGTTGTAACGATGCCCCGGTGTTGAACTCGCACACCATCCTCAGTCTGGACCGCTCGCCGCGTCAGAAGAGACGCTACAGTTTCAGCGACCGCGTCACCGTTGCTTTTTCAAAGTCCAAGAACTACATCATGGGCTCGGACAACGGTTTGCTGCTGACGGAGGATCACGTGGAGGGAGACCTAGAACTGGACCGTGACCCGATCTTTGAGAACCAACTTGACAAGGATGTGGACCTGGAGAAACAGGTGGACTTGGACCGTGGAGCCGGGGGTCGGAGGACGTGGGATTCTAAAGAGTATCACTCACTGACGTTCCAAAATGCCAACATTACTTTTATCGATGAGGAAAACTTCATCGGCAACAACTTGGAGGACGACGACGACGACGACTCCAAGGCGAAACTGTCCATCACCACGTGTGACGAGAACATTGAAACCAACTCCAAGGAGGAGGAGAGTTCAGAGTCCGGCGGGTCGGTGTTCACCATCGACGGGTCAGAACACGGACACTCCTACGAGAAACTGGTGGAGGAATACGCCAAGGAGGACAACACAGAGTCTTGACCTTTGACCTTTGACTCCGTGCCCACGCCACGTGTCGCTCACCTTTTTCCTAATGTGAAACATTTGAAAGGATCACATGACCCACTGCACTTTCTGGTGTCTGACGTCACATGATCAGATTTCAAATCAACACCTACTTCAAATTCCTGTGAACTGTTGATGTTTAACGTCCGGGTGAACATGACCCGACCTTTGACCCCTGCTCTAGGACCACCTTTAACTAAACATTGTGTGCTACGATTTTCTTAAATGTCCGAACCTTGAACTGTTCGCCACAAGTTTTTTGGTCCAATCTCGGTGCGGTGAGGACTCTGGTGTCAACTACTTCCTGTGAACTACTTCCTGTGGTTCCTCCGACACTTCCACCATATTGGTGTTTTAATTATATTTATTGAAATGAAGGACGCTGCATCTTTTTATTTAAATGAAACGTCTGTCTCTGACCAGGTGTCAAGTCCACTCCACTGCAGACTTCTGGTCATCACCTGAGCCACGTCCTGGTCCTTAGAAACGTCAGCACAGAGTCGGCCGATTGGTTGTTTTTGTTTTTGTTTTTCTCCTTCAGTATTTTCCTTTTGTGACGTCGTGAACTTTGTCAGTTTTGTCTGTAGAAATAGTGACTGCACTAGAGAAGATCGGTGACATTTCATCTGTGGAGAGAACGATGGAACTGTTTGTGTTTGAACTGCCTTCAGAGTTCATGTGCCAGGAATATATAAATATATGAATATATGAATATATAAATATATGAATGTATAAATTTATAAGTTCCAAACACATAAAAAACCCTTTGGTTTCAGGTGACGTCTGGTGAAATTTAAAACCAGTTCTTCTCACTTTTCTCTGAAGCGTTTCATTATTTTAGCCGTGTGACTGAAGACCTTCAGACCTTCAGACCTTCAGACCTTCAGACCCCGGCCCGGCCCAGGTCTCCACCTGGACTTGATACCTGTTCACCTTCCAGGACTCGTTCTGGTTGGAACGATGTTTTTGTGGTGTGACACAGGGGGCAGTGTTGTGTGTGTTTGTATGTATTGTCCATTCAGTTTCAGTTGCCTCTCTGTCTCCACCTGCTGTTTGCACATGTCAGACTTCAGCACAGAACTTCAAACAGTGTTACTGTAATGATCGGTTCTTCAGTCGTTCTTCTCCCTCATCCGACCGTCAGTCGTGACCTCTCTGTGACCTCTCTGTGTCCAACATGTTTCATCTTTTATGTTCAGTTTGTTGTTGTTGTTCCAGTCTCCACTGTTGAGTGCCTCCTGACCCCCCCCCCGTCGTCACTGGTCGTCTGAATAATTGCTTGAGTCGTTAAAAAAATTCTGTGAACGTTTTTTTTTTTCTATGATTAAATTATTCGTGTTTGTACATTGATTAGTAAAACTGTATATTTTATGAAAAATAAACACTTAATAAAAACCTTTTGGTGTTTTTGGTGCTCATTAAAAGTTCGTCAAATTATTGGTCAACGGTACAATTTCGGACGTCGTGTTTCTTCGGAAGCACTTTGTTGACCATCGTCGTGTGAAGATTCGGAAAGTTTGAAACATCTGTTTCCTAGCATTGTTACCTTCAAATGACATTAATGTGAAGCTAAGAGACGTTCAGGTGTTGGAACAGAACGTGGGAAGAACTGGTTCCACAGGCACCAACAGTGTTCTCCAGTGGAACTCTTTCCACTTCCTGTTCTTTCTCTTCTTCTTCTGTTGCTGTTGAGAACAGTGACCGTTGAACTGATGGTTTCATTTCCATTGGTTACCGAGGAGTAAAGTGCTAACACTTCTACACACCTGCTAACACGGCGTTGGTCGTACATCAAGTTGCCAGATCAGGTCATGATTTCATGTAAATTATGATTCTGTTTCTCAAATGACCACAGACTGGGCCACTTGGAGGTTGTATCTGGGCCAAATGTGGTCCGCCGGCCTCTATTTGACGAGGCCAACTCTACAGTATTTCTTTACATGAGTTGATTTTCAAATGAGGTGAAACTTGATGTGAGCCATGATGTTTGTGGACCCCTGTCTTCTACAGTGGACACTGACTCATCTGTCCTGTCCTGGATGTCTCCATGTTCCAGGAACTTCTGGACAGAAACACGTAATTGATTTCACTGCCTCCAGGTTAAATAATAAATAACTTTGGAAATGTTCCTTTTTGCCATCAATGTTTCACTGGAATGGGCGGCACCGCGGTCGGACTTTGTCCTTGTGACTGTTCAGCGTTGAGCCCTGATGATGGTTAGTGAAGCAGAGGAAAAAACCAGGCGGCGTTTAAATGTGCTGAGGCCTGTGGAAACACATGAAGAACTCCTGCTTCTGTGGAATTCCTCACGCAACATAAATCCCTCAAGACAACGCGGGTGAAGTCAGCGCTGTTTATTTCCACCCAGTGAGATTTATCCACCCAATATTTGTACAATATCTCGTATGAGTACAAGAGCTGCAGAGTACTACACTGTAGAACTACATTCACCCACTGACATTAAATTAACTAACAAGATCAGATTATCATGGTAATTAGCCCAGTATTTTTCATGAACCTTTGTCACGTTATATACTACATATATACTACGTTATATTGCCTTTTGTTGTACGTGTCATTTCAGTCTTCAGGTTGAGTACAATCAAGCTACAGTAAACATACAAAATACAAAAATACATAAATAATAATAAAGAGTAATAAATAATAAATCATGGAAAAGTACAGTTATAGTCATAGTCATAGAGTAAGAAGAGGTTCATGTTATATATATATATTATAATTCAGTAATTCAGAGTCCAAATGGAGACAGCTCTGTACCAGACCTCATGCCTTTATATTGAAAAACTATTATTTTACAATATAGTACTAGTACTTTTATATTAAACTCGTGAGTATTCCCATACAGAAATGTCTCCTTTACTCGGAATCGAGTATAAACATTAGCAGTTAGCATTCTCGACGATCAGTGGCGTACCGTCAAGTCCAACAAGGTGTTCCCTACCAGAACAGTACCAGAATCAGGTACTGATTTTTCTCACACAAATTAAACGAGTATAAGTATTATTAATAATAACAGAGAGTAGTCCGTTTTACTCTTTTATTCTTGTTCTCGGCTTTTCTCTGGTTGCGCTGCTTCCAGTCGCGTTTTTTTATCCAATCATATTTAAGTCTCATGTTTTGCCAGGATGAAAAGAAATCTGCCCGGCAACACTTCAGAGTCAGTCGTGCTGGCGTCTCAAATGAATGGCAACGAGATTGTTTCTTTAACCAATCAGATTCTGAGTTGGCGTCGTAGCGCGGCTTTCTAGCTAGCGCAGTGTTACGTTGGCGATTTGAGTGATTTGATGGGACGGTTAGGAACGCACGGTCTCCAATTTAGAAAAAAATTAAGTTTTCGAGCGTAAAAACTGATTCCGTCGAGCGAACATTCCAAATAAATGCGACAGGACACACTGGACTTTTAGCGCTAGCATGGATGGAGTTGTTGTTAGAACCGGAACGAACGGAGAATCTGTGGAGTCATTGAACTCATCTCAAAGGAAATGAGGAGATATTCTGTATTCAACCAATCCGAAGTTTTGGTGAGTAAAACGCATGTTGTCTTTTTAATAAAACCTGTACTTTCTAGTGTTGTTGTTTCAGTGATGACGTCATGAAGGCTACATGAGTAAGCTAGGATATAACGACTCGTTTTACTACATTTCTACATAATATTGATGGTTTCTGCAGACATAATGACGTCATTAAGATATGGATTTATTCAGGCAGGACGCCACTATGTTTAACTTCACTTCACTCAATAACATTAATTAACAAACAAACAAAAAATCAGTAGTAAATGTCCAGGACATCATTGAGGCAGGTAAATCAGTGAAAGTATTGCAGTACAAGCAAAATAGTGATGATAAACTGTCTGTGTGAAAGGAGGGTGAGTAAAAGGGGGGGGGGAAAGGGAGAGAACATAGAAAACAGACTGTGTGGATGTGGTTTTGTCAACATTGACTGACAGAAGCAAACAAACCACTAACTGTAATCACGTGCGGGCTGATTTGTCCTGTCCTGATTGGCCGATGAGAACAGATGACATCACCATCACAGTTATTTCTGAGAACAAAACCAAAAACACAAAAGAACGTCATTCAGTAAAACCAACCAGCCGCTTGAATGGGATGTTTTCAAGTACTCAGTACCACAGAAATACACTCTGTTAGCATTAGCATTACTGCGACAGTATGTGTGTTAGCCTTGGAAAGAACTGACAACAGACTACAGACAAACCTCACACTCTTTGACATCCAGTATCTGCTGCCTACTGTACTTGTCTGACTTGGGAAGTTGGGAGTTAAATACTGCAGTACTCCAAGTATGTGAGTCTAATTACCTCGTTAAAAACACTTCATTACCAAGTGAAAATAAAAGCTGCTGTGGTCCTGTGGAAGTACAGTGTGAAGGCCAGACTGAGGCTGGACATTTTTGAACAGCAGTGGGCGCTCATGAGGAGCTGTCGTCCAGGTAGCTGACAATGAACCTAAAATGTTACCTACATTAGTTTGTCGACTGTCTCTTGATTATGTACCTGTGTGTTTTACAGTGTTTACACCAACTGTTAATAAAGTGTTATTTTAAAAATCAAAAATCTTCTTCTCCTTCTTCTTCCTCTCCTTCTTCTTCCTCTCCTTCTTCTTCTTCCTCTCCTTTTTCTTCATCTCCTTCTTCTTCCTCTCCTTCTTCTTCTTCCTCTCCTTCTTCTCCTTCCTCTTCTTCCTCTCCTCCCTCTTCTTCCTCTCCTTCCTCTTCTTCCTCTCCTTCCTCTTCTTCCTCTTCTTCCTCTCCTTCTTCTCCTTCTTCTTCTTCCTCTCCTTCTTCTTCTTCCTCTCCTTTTTCTTCATCTCCTTCTTCTTCCTCTCCTTCTTCTCCTTCCTCCCCTTCTTCTCCTTCCTCTTCTTCCTCTTCTTCCTCTTCTTTCTCTTCTTCCTCTCCTTCTTCTCCTCCTTCTCCTTCCTCTTCTTCCTCTCCTCCCTCTTCTTCCTCTCCTTCCTCTCCTTCCTCTCCTTCCTCTCCTTCCTCTTCTTCCTCTCCTTCTTCTCCTTCTTCTTCTTCCTCTCCTTCTTCTCCTCCTTCTCCTTCCTCTTCTTCCTCTCCTTCCTCCCCTTCTTCTCCTTCCTCTTCTTCTTCTCCTTCCTCTCCTTCCTCTCCTTCTTCTCCTTCCTCTTCTTCTTCTCCTTCCTCTCCTTCTTCTCCTTCCTCTTCTTCCTCTCCTCCCTCTTCTTCCTCTCCTTCCTCTCCTTCCTCTCCTTCTCCTTCCTCTTCTTCCTCTTCTTCCTCTTCTTCCCCTCCTTCCTCTCCTTCTTCTCCTTCCTCTTCTTCCTCTTCTTTCTCTTCTTCCTCTCCTTCTTCTCCTCCTTCTCCTTCCTCTTCTTCCTCTTCTTCCTCTCCTTCCTCCCCTTCTTCTCCTTCCTCTTCTTCTTCTCCTTCCTCTCCTTCTTCTCCTTCCTCCTCTTCTTCGTCTCCTTCGGTCCACCGGTGACCCCGGACCAGGAAGTCTCACACGTTCACACCTGCAGAAGCAGAAGCAGCAGTTCTGTAGGGGTTGAGAGGGTTTTATGGGAAAGGTCAGAAGGTCAGAGGACCTTTGCTCCCGTGTTCCTAATAAAATGACTTCTGTCCCAGTGATAAGATCTGCAGACCAACAGTCAGAGTGAAGACTTGCTCCACAGATGTCATTTCTCCGCAGCTCAGATAAGAGATTTTATTTGTCATAAAGTCTCAGCAGAGTTCAGAACATTTGGACTTTGGAACTTTATCTCTGTCTTCAAGTTGATTATACAGTCGAGGTCACGGAGGTCATCCAACCTAGACATTCTAGAATATTTAGATTGTTATCAAATATATAAAGAAGAAGAATCAACGACAACATGGAGTTTCAAACTCTGAGCTGGGGGCCACTACTGGCCCCATCAGCTTATTCTGGGGCCACAGCAGGGGCTACAGAGAGGAAAGAGTTCTCTTTCTGCAGTACAACAGCATGTTAATGTCAGCATTCTTCACTTCCTTATTGGTCAGGCATGTGACAGTACAGTACAGTACAGTACAGTACAGTACAAAATACACACCAGAGTATTCATTATGTTTGAGGCTGTCAGTACTCTGTACAGAACCTTCTGCTCACATTGACTAAATACACCTGGTACACATGTCACCTGGTACAACATAGTCAAATTGTTACA